TCTTTTTTTTTGGCAGAACCAGGGATTGAACTCAGGCCCTTGTGCTTGCCAAGGAAGTGCTTATACCACTGAGCCATCTCCCCGGCCCCAGTTTTTCTTCTTGAAATGTAAAATAACCCAAAGTCGAAGGTGAATAGTGTAGGACTTATGATATAGCAAGTATTAGGTTATTACTTCAACGGAAGCCCTGTGAAAATATCACAGTTAATCTATTAAAGACTAGATTTCTAGAATTTTACTGGTTCTGTTCACAATTTGGTTCCCATAAAAGAAACATCCACCATAATTTTCCTTCCTTTCACAAACTCCACCTCAGGGGATGAACACAGCCATAGTCGTCTTCCCTGTATGAATGTGAGTCCACCCATCTTCCCCAGAATAGTGGCATAAATGAAGTTCGTGAAGCAAGGTACCACTGTGTGTGTGTGTGTGTGTGTGTGTGTGTGGGTGTGTGTGCGTGTGTGTGCACGGTGTGTGAATGACAAAGCAATGATTCTCATTCCAGACATCCCAGAGGTACAATGAGGGGCAGTGTGAAATTTCAACATGCTACTTAGAATGGCACAAATTGTTAAAATACTAATTATCTCTGGAATACACTGTTTAGTATTTCCATCTACAGTTGACCACAGATAACTGAAACTGCAGAAAATGAAACTGCAAATAAGGGAAAATGACTATATCCGTGTATTTCAGTCTAAATGAGAGCTGTGTTGAAAAGTTTAAATTGTGAGTCATGTAGCTTTCACTCTATGCTTATTATTATTATTTCTTAGCGTAGTTGGTACAGGATCTCCAGGACCTCCAGGGTCTCACCACACAGATGGGGCTTGCTAGTGATCCTCCTGTTTTCAGCCTCCCAAGTGCTGGGTTTACAGGCATGTGCCACCACGCCCAGTCTCAGTCCCTATCTCAGCACATCTTGGGGGCAGGGCTGGCACAGCATGCCAAGGATGGAACCCTGGCCCCTGTGCTCTGCCTAAGCAGGCGCGCGCTTCAGTCTGCTGAGCCATCTGGCCAGCCCTCACTGTATGTTTTTTTTTTTTTAAACACCAAACTAATCCTCAAAATCTTCACCATGAATCTCTTCAAACTATCTGCTATCAGCACATGGAAGGTGAAGGAGTTAAGAATACGCCATCCCAAAAACTGCTACGTTAACATACTGAATATTTAATTTGAAAGCACTTTAAGAAACAGCAGATATAAAGAGATTACTCCATCATACTGTTTCTTAAGAGGAGGAGATAAATTTCTCATGTGGAAGAGGCAATGCCTTTATCCTCAAGCATGAGAAATCAAGACCAAAAGAATTTTGTGCAGAGCTGGTTAAAAGAACTTGTCTGTTAAACTTCTCATTTTTAGTTGCTTCACAATTTAATATTCTCTGCTCAACCCAGTACATAAGTAAATGATTCTTTTTCATTTCACAAAGAACAGATAAAACAAAATTTGATAACAAGATGACAGGAAAATAATAATAGGTAATACATTGCATATTATAAAGTAGCTACTCAGAACCAGTTATGGGCATAAAAATTCTCTAATCAATATTAGCACAATCCTCCCTTTTCTATGAACTAAGAGACACTACTAGTATAACTGACTTGGGTAACTGATTCTAGAGGGGCTGGAGATAGCTCAGCAGCATAAACAGTTACCCGGCAAGAGCAAGGTGCTGAGCTTGATCCCTGATACAAAAAAAAAAAAAAAGGAACTGACTCTAAATACCATTCATTTCCTTTGCATGGCTTCTGTGCCATGTAAAATTTGTATTAAATTAAGGTGCATGACGTGCTCCTACCGATCTGTCTTGTATCAACTTAACTCCAAGGCTCAGGCAGGACCGTGCAAAGATGGAATTCTACTGACCTCACAAAGACTGTTGGTTTATTCTACACACTGTGAAATCTCTTGAAAGATCTTCTCCCCTTGCTGCCAAACTTCCATTTGTTTACTATTTTTCAGCTTCTCTGATTGTAGAAGACCAAATACTCACAGTGCCCCTCTTCTATCCTAGGACACCATTACACTTCCAAGGAGCAAATGCAGCTCCAGCTCCTGGGCTGCACCATCAAGCCGGGGACAGAAAGTTCAAGAAAATGTTTAAAATTGATCAACCAAATGACCACAGGCTTCAGAATGCTCTAAGGGAAAATTAGAGGGAAGCATGGAAATATAGGGGAGCAGAAGCTAATAAAGAGTGGCACTAAGGAAAGTCAGACACATGGTCTAGGCAAAGAGAAGAAGAAACAATTCCAGGCAGAAAGGCAAACACATAAGAACACCTACAACTAAGTGAATGGGGAAAATGCAGCGTATTTCAGGAACAAGGAGAAAGATTAACACTGGACAATGCTAGCGAATGCATTGGACCTGCAGTGGCTGCAAAACAGCGCATTTCCCTGCAAGCTAGAACTCGCTGCTAAGCTAAGGCGAGGGCAGTGAGCTGCCCTGACCCAGCTTCAAATGCTTCAGGCTGCAGCATTTCACGCCAAAGCCCACCACAACTTGTGAGCCACATCTGCATTCCTCCTGAGCAGCTTCCGTTCTGTCATTAAACACAGCTGAATTGTGGGGTTGTTGCTGTTTCTTCCCAATGCGAGTCTCCTCTCAGGTACCCTTACTCAAGATTATCAACAGATTAGCCACATCCCGCTCACATTTTGTTTAAGATCAGTCCATCTTCCCCCAGTCTGAAGGTCTTTCTAGAGCCTGAGATACTATCGCTGAGTCTGGGATACAGTTCTTGAAGCTGATGCAGAAATGGGAAGCAAGGAGCATCTGAGTAAAACAAGCTGAGGCTGGGCTGAATGAGACACATCCTCAGATGCTGCCAAGGGACCTTCAGCTACCTAATCTAAGTATTCACAGTGCCTAAAATTCTACTCATGAACATGGAGGATGACAAGGACCAAGGAACCTTGTGGAGAGGGGAAATCAAACTATAAATGGTCAGTTGGAAAGAGGAAGCTTAAAGGCTCGGAATAGTGTTTATTATGTGAATCAGAAGCCAAAAAATAGAACTGAAAGATTTGAAAAACCTGAAGTTTGATTAGAGAAAAAGCACAAGTCAAGCTGAAGTCAAAGAGGACAAGACTGCTGAAGATACTAGTGCCACTAAAAAGAAATCAAGCACTTTGCCCCAGGACCAACAGAAAGATGCTTGAAGGTGTCTCAGGAATCAGCAAGATCTCACAGCACAGGGCTGAGTTCATTAAAAGATGAAGTCTTTTGAAAGCCTCTGCTTTAACAAAAGAGGCTGCAGACATTCTGTATATTCAGAATTACCCATGGAAGTGTTTCCCCCTTGTTCATCCAACCAAATACTCAGAAGTCGCTGCAGCCATGGTCCAAGGGGACCTGGTAACTGCTCACATGGGCAGCAGACTTGGCTGTCATCCACATGATGCCGATTTTGCAGGCGCGCAGAATGCAAGAGTTACAGGATCCTGAAGGCTTCCACCTAGATTTAAACTGAAGGCCTAGAAGTCCACACAATGTGTGATGGGGGATAAGCCCTGCCAGGAGCCCCTGAAAGAGCCATACGTGACACTGTGGGAATGAGTCTAAAGCTTCACTGGAAATCACAGGAAGCTCAAGATTTTAGGGATGTGAAAAGTCAGCCAAGGAAAACTGAACGTAGTGAGCAGAGCCAGCCCAAGGGAGAGGCCACACGAGGAGTGACCAGCAAGGTCACAGGAGTGAGGCTGGCTCTGCCCTGCAGAGATCGCATCACGGCACCACATTCCCTGCATGCTGCTCGGGGAACCACAGGGCTTAATGTCTGCTCGTTGGTTTTCTGCCTTGCTTTGGTCCTAATACTTTCTGTTCCACTGTTCTTCCCCTTTGGCATGGAAAGATAATGGTTAATGGGAAAAAGGGGCCACCATGTCTTGGAATTACATAACTTATTTTTTTACATTTTACAGGTGCTTATAGGTAAAGGTTTGCTATGAGCCTGCGAGCAGACTAAACTTGGAATCTGAGCAGCGCTGTGACTGCTGAGACTTTGGTACAAGAAATAATGCATTTCTGGTTGGATGATTATATGGCGTATAATTCCACAGTATAAGTCAAATTATGACCTTGTTGTCCCTATTTGGAGATTAAGAAGTGCCAAGGAGATGTGTTTGGACACTAAGTTGACAATGGCGACACTTTTGACGATTAATCTTGACTGACTCGAGTCACATAGGAGCTAGCAAAAGAGGGTTCTGGCTGTTTCTGCAGTCATGGGGCTCGACCTTGGGGTGTACACAGTCCCTGGGCTCCTGGGCTCTGGTGCTGTTTCCTGGGTTTCTGGAGCTGAGCAGCTCTCTTTGCCCTGCCCTTCCACCACGGTGTCTTGGAGTGAGCTGCCAGGGGGCTGAAGCCACAGGCCAAAATAAACCCCTACTCAGAAAACAAGAGTTTAGATTTAATGTATCATTAAAATCATTTCTGAAAAATGTAGCAAGATACAGGCTTAGTTATTAACTAATGAATGTGATTAAACACTCAGATGAAATACTATGACTGAATCCCTTTAAAAATATACAAGTGGCAAGTAGATTTTTCTCCCATTAAAAAAAAATAAGGGCGCTATTTTGTGTGTTTATATGGAGCTGCAATGATGGCTGATGGGCCAAGTCAAAGGCCTGTTTATCTGATCTGTGCATGCGGTATGCAAAGAGATATATTACAAAACACACACACACCCCTGCACAGCAACAAGCAATTAGAGATGAACAATCAATTCTGATCCTGTACACAGTCCAGTTTACCCACTTTATTCTTTGTCACTGTAAGATGTGTGAATCTGTGACTTCTGATTTACATGGGCCGGTTAATGCGTTAGCATCCCAACCCACAGGTGCTTCATACATAGAAGTCATCACATAAGTTCAAGCAGAAGATCACAAAATCATTACACATTTCAGATAGGCTACCACTTACGTAGGGCATGTCAGAACCTCGACGGGAATACCTTTAACTATTAAATAAAAAACACAGCTTACCTGCAGACCTTTTTCTTGTATCTTTTTCTGAAGGATTTGAAGGCACTTGGTAAAGTCAGTGTATTCCTGATCAGGCGTTAAAATAAGCTCACAGCCCTGTGTGTTGAAGGAAAAGATACGAATAAATGAAGACTTCGATCTCATGAACATAAGCAAGGGCTATCCGAGGAAAGACAAGTTAACAGACATGTTCCATTAGGCCTACGTGGTTGTGTTACCAACAGAATCATTGTCATTGTCTCTTTATTTCACATAACAGGATATTTAAGGAGCAATGTTAGAATACTACAATAGTGGGCTGATTATGGTAGTCACTTTTATCAAGAAATGATAGAGGACACTACATTGTGGTTTTTAGTGATGACATTAAATATAAACATAAGGACCTTGCACAAGTATAACAAATTTTATTCACGGTGGAATTATCTGAAATTGAAAGGAAAGTATTTTCAAAAAAAAACTTAAGTTCTTTAAGAAAACCTCACGTTTACTTACATGGATAGAATAGGTAATGTTGATACCGAAATAATGATAAAAATTTACATTTTATGTAAAATCAAGCTAGCTGTCCTGTAAAATTTCCTTATATCCTCTTCTCATATGAAAAGCAGCACAGAGCTATGGAGAAGGGAAGGTCTCTTTTATTATTTTTTAGACATAATTAGGAGAATTTATAAGTTTTCTGTCTATTCTACAATAGATAGCCTGCATACCGAAAAACACTGAAACATATTTATAAATACAAAGCCATAAACATGTCAAATTCTGGTCACTACTGAACTTAGATGCCTAGTGAAACTACTTTTGAAATGACACCTTCTCCTCCAATGTCACTCGGAGGAAAAGGTATGTTAAACTAGACCAGGATGGAACTTCGGACTCCTTAATTCAGGAATAAAACAATTCTTGGACTCTGACAAACAGCTGAGTAAGGGAAAGTTAAATATAATCTGCTCTATAAAGTTGCTATTCAAAGAGTTTTCAAGGATACAAAATACCCATCCGACCTCCTAAATTATTCCAAGAACTATTCTCAGTAGATTTAAAAGTTCCTCTTTTACCTCAAGGTCTTTTTAACTGTGTCAAGCGCAATCTGTGCTTCATTCATTTATGGCTGTCCTATGATATAGTAGTGACCAACAGAAAAATTAACTTCTCATCATTCAGAAATATATTATGCTCTGAAAGATGCATATGTCATCTTTACACGATTGTCGACATACACTTTCTTGACCCTAAAGAACTTTGAAATTTACTACGTAATCACTAAGCAAGGGCATAAGGAAGTGACTTGCTTCAGGCGAGCATGTGTAAGAGAGAAGATCTGAGCACACGCCACAGCATACAGGAATATTATCTAGACTGAAGAGACCGCATTCACCAAACCAAAAATCATCAAACTGAAAGTTCCTTGAAAGCAGGAACTGTTTTATTCATCGTTGCTTTCCAGTGCCTGGGGTGAGGACAGTATACGCCCAATACCTATATAAATAGTAATTTCAGGGAACAGAAATGAATTTCATTAAATGATCTTTATAAAAGTGTTTACTAACAAAGAGCTAGGGCAGTGGTGACAGATCTCTGGCATGCATGCTGCTGCTGCTCACTATTTGTTATCATTGAGAGCTCTAAAGGATTCCCAACACCGGGCTGGGACAACAGAACAACCTCTTGCTAAATATAACAGCTATGACCAGGGACGAGTATCTTTCTTTTGTAAATACTGACAATAGAGATAATCACACAAAAGGAAATAAAATCGGACAGGCAAACAGAAACATCAATACAAGAGATGATGAACAGATCACTGTCTGTCTTTGCAGAATCAATGCAGAACCACATAGAAAGTGGCAGATGAACAGAACCCAAGGAATAATCTAAACCAGTGGAAAATCGTGTTGAGAAATAAAAAACAAGGAGTAAGACCTGAGTTACTGGCCATTCACTAGCTAGGCAGTAATTAGCAGCAATGAGCAAAACAAGTCACATGAAACATGAGCAAGAACAGATTATTCAACTGTACCTCATGACTTAAAATTGATGAATAGAAAAATGTAGGTCAAGATGGAGGGGGATCTGATACCTCAACTGACACGTCTACAAACTCTAGTTGAGGTATTTAACCACTATTCAAAGCTACTTAGAATTGTGTGTAGCTTAAAGGATTCTAAACACAATGTAAAAAAGAATTCAATGAAAATGGAAAGCTCTTACAGCTCTCTCTGCGTTTAACATTGACAAGAGAGACCTGCAAAGGGAAGTACAAGGCACAGGGAACAATAGGCCTTGGCCCAACTAAGTGTGGCTTCCCTCACTGCTGGGTCATATGGCAACATAATAAGATCTAAGGAGAAGAAACAGAAAGCTGAAGACAAGAAATACCAAAGTCCCTAGACAAGGGATAGTGTGGCATCATGAAATGCTGACATGAATCTTACATATTAATAATCATATTTTATGTGGCATGGAAACTAATTTCACTGGGGTACTGAAAATTTTCAGTGATTTCATGTTTTCTTTAAAACAGAAACTAGAAATCCTTCATACTCCCAATTCAAGGACGTAGAAGATAATAAATGGATTTTGGCCAATTAGGAAAATAAGGCAGCAGAAAAGTATAAAAACGAGGTATAAAAAGTAAAGCCATACTAACCTGCTGAGCTGTAAAAGGCTCAAGTTAACAACTTCTGACATCTCCAGTCCTGTGGATAACCCACTACTATTATGGAATACTGGACTATATGGGATTACTTTACTGAATTCACGCACCTACAATAATTGAATGGCAATGGAATACTCATCTCTGACAAAAGTAAACAAAAAAGGGGGATATAAATGAAGGACCATTTTGTAGTGGAAAAAAAAATATATATATATATAGATATACAGCTACTTTCTCTTAGTTCAATGAGAAGAAAATTTGTACTAATAGGGTTTAGACAAGATATCATGTCTGCACCTTGTATTATGAATAACGACTACAAAGACAACAATATGCAATGTATTAATTACTATAACTCTTCTTATAACCTGTTTTGAAACTCTCAATGCTATTTCTTTCTCAATAAAATTAAGATTAAAAGAAGGAAAATATAAGACTTGCTAATCAATAGTTGACAATACTTGCTTCCCAATGCAAATACACATTTTACTTTCAATGTTGGAGAAATATTGCTAAAATATAAATAGCAAAATTCTTTAAAATAGTCTTAAGGTATTAAGGTTTGAGTGTAAATTTTTAAGTACTACTATCTGTGAATTTTTTTAGTTGAATGAATGAAATGAATTTGGGGGAGGATGCCAACATTTTGTGAACCAGAAGAGAGATATTTATATATTCATTCTTTCT